GTGGGGGTGCGGGACCGCCAGTAGCAGGGGAAGGAGGGCAGAGATTGATTTCTCGATTGTCAGTCGCGTGGGCTACCCTACAGGGGTGGTAGTGAGAAACAAGAACTGATGGTTTGGGGGTGAGGGTAGACAAGGATGGTGGGGAAAGAGAGAGTCTGAGACTAAACTTGAAAAAAATTAAAAAGAGAGACAGTATACAACCCTCTGGGCGCCCAGAGCATGGTGGAGGGATCTAAAGGAAGGAAGCCTGAGGAAAACAGGGCTCATTTCACCCATCTCATACTTTGGCTAAGAAAAAGGTCTGGCCTAATCAATATATTTGGACCTAAGTTCTGTGTCTCCACTTGCCAATATAGAGAGCCAAAAAGAAGTTAGGTTCTTCCTAAAGATGTTTGTTATTCCCCGAAGAATCTTTTAGGAAAAGCAAACGGCCTGAGAAATATTTGTTCATTAGATATATTCTGGCAGCAACCAGAAAATTCCAGAAAGTACCAAGCACATGCACAAACACATAACACACTTGGTTCTTGAAACACTTGAACTGGTTATTGTCATTATGAAGTACTTTCTCCAGCAAATGAATTGATAAATCCGCTCAAGTGTATGTCAGATATTGTAAGGCAGTGATAGAGGTTGGGTCCAAATAAGCCTTATAGAAAGTATTGATTGTTTAATCCAGTTTTATGGCCGACAGTAGAACAGATGGGGTTTTTGAAACACCCTCGTGCTGTAAAGAAGGTGCGTGCTCTCCAGTGTCTTGCTCAATTCGAGAACATCCTGGCTGCTGCTGCTTATAAGGCTCTGTGGCATTCTCCTGAAATCTGCAGCTGATACATTCCACATGTAACCCCCTCCCCCTGGAGGAGAAACCTTCCTGCTGAGTCAGATGGGTTTTCAGAGGTGCAAACATAACAAACAACTTACGTCTTTTAGAAACTGCTGATGTGTCTACCCTTTGCCTTCTCACAAGGGGGAAGATTTCCTCTCTCTCTAGATGGAAATCATTGCTTTCCCCGCTGAGAAGCATGGGTTGCCTGAGGCGGAGTGGCTTCAAATGAGAGCGGGTCTCCCTTACAGCCATCATCACATCCTGACATCACACGCGGTCCTGTCCGGAGCTCCACGCCACCCGGCTCCTGAGCAGCAGATGGGTTCACTTAGGGCCGCGCGTCGCCCAAACCCAGCAGCCACCTTCTCTGGTTCCAAATGTGCCGTGAGCAGCGAGCACACCGCAGGAGTGTGTGCGGGAGGGGGAGACTCAGAGGGACCTCAGGCAGCGGAAGGGTCAGGCGGGAGGTTGGGACACTAAATTACCTTAGCGAACCGGGGGGCAGATTCTTGCCATTTCTCTACTAAGAACGAAGCTGACAAGCTAAACACGGTTAGGTTTCACTCGAGCGTGAGCCTCTGGGAATCCAAACAGGAGAAGAAACAAGATCTTGCGTATCACATGCGAGGCTGCGTGGGCAGGGCCAAGTCAGCCAGGTAGCTCAGTAACGATAAGAGAGAAAAATTAAGGAGTCACCTCTATAGGTGACTATCCCGTGTGCTCTGAATTATGGGCTGCGATCCTGAATTCTGGCAGCCTTTCTCCGAAGAATAGTTCCTCCTTGTTAACCTGTTATTTCTGCCCCTGTGGAGAGACACTGAGTACTGCACACATCTAATTTTGGCATCCTATTAATTTTAATGAGGGTAGCCCCATTCAAGCGCGCTAAATGCATTTGTGTGTGTGTGTGAGTGTGTGGGTGTGGGGGGGCGTGTGTGAAAAGTAAGGCAGGGTGCTGCATGGCCCGTGTGTGGATGTGTGATGTGTCATTTGGAGCGAGGCATCCGAGCACAGCTGAGAGACCTGGTTTCAGGTGCCAGCCCGAGAATCATCAGGCTCATCAATAATGGACGGGCCTAAGGGGACCAGCCTCACTTGCCTTTGTTCCCTGCCGTAGATGAAGGGAGGCATGGATCTCTCGGTTTTGCCAAATAACAACCATCCTGACAAATTCCTGCAGCTTGACGCGAAGCTGTTGATGAGGAGCTCAGCCCTGCTGCAGGCCGGCCTGGTGAGGTTTCCGGGCGGGAGCCACCCCGCTGCCCAGCACTGGCAAAACCTCGTCTACTCACAGGTACGATCGGGAGCCCGGGCAGCGGGCCGGGGCTCCCCTCTCTCCGCCGGTTCACATTTATGCGAAGGGAAGGCCAGCGGGGCCAGTGAGCCAGGGAGCTTACTCGCCGCTGCCACAGAGCACAGGCCTCTCCTCCTTAACCTGAGCCTTTGTCCCATCCCTTTATACAGATGCGAGTTCTCCCACCCCCTCACCCCCTCCAAGGCCTAGCTCCCAGCCTGTGCTTCCTTCTACAGTTTGCCCAGCCCTCATTTTACTCCTCTCCCTCAAAATTTCTCAAACCAATTTGCAAATAAGGCTCTGGAGGGAAAGTTTTGGGTGTACTCTAACCACGAAGCACCAGAAGCTTACTTTGGGGGCTCCTACACCTCATTTAGACCAACTGCCTTTGGCTTCGTGCAGGGGAGGCTCGGACAGCGGAGAAGTGGAAAGTTGATGCTGGAAGGGAAGGGGAGAGAAGGAACTCTCCGCCTTGCAGAGGTGCTGGCCGCTCTTGCAGATGCTCATATTTTTCGCAGGCGTCCGCACGGACGGGACACACCATCGGGCCTTCAGAGCCAGCGCAGGCCCGACTTCTTGCTTTCTTTTTTCTCTCGCGTCTTCCTTCCTTTCGCTGACCAGGAGAGAAAAAAGCTGTGATGAGTTCCATGTGCTGGAATCCACATAAAGGCCCTGCCTGTTGCACAGCTCGTGAAACAGGACTAACCTTTGTTTTAAGATGTGAGGGCTAATGGGGTTAAGGGTTAGTCCATTTAGAAACAGGAAGAAGCATTGCGTTTCAGAACAGATGTGACTGACCCACCAACCCCTGCAAGTCATTAAGTCCTTTGGAGTGGTTCAAATTCCCTGAACAGAAATTTGTTTTCTTTTAAGAAACAGTTGCTACTCATGAGTCCTGGTGTAAAGTGACTCCTTTGTGGTGCGTTTTGTGGGCTCCCCGGGACCTTTATCCTGAGATCATTCAAAGTCAAGTACACTCAAATGATTATGTAAGTGTTTCCTCCACCTATAAGGGTTTTAATTTATTTCCATGGTAAAGCAGCTTATTATGACAACTGACTTTTAAAGAATTGTTGCATCTTTCCTACTTGTAATCCTCAAAACCCTTCCGCCCATCAGATGCACCTTTTTGGTTATTGTTTTTGTGTTTTGTTTAGTTTTAAGCTAAGTGCAATGACATTTCTCCTTTTACTTCCTTACTGTTTATATCAAGGAATGAAATGATTCGAAAGTCAGTTAAGAAAACCTTGGCTTTCCTATGCTATGAAGTTAAGTCTCAGAAAACATATCCAAAAAATTCCTTTGAGGTTGGAACACATACATCTAACATCTTTTGTTTGGTCCTGGAGTTGACCTGTTTCCTTCATGTGGAACTTCACAGTTTCAAGCCCTGTTGAATGTTGTTCCTAAACCTGAATGAAATGCACATTTTTAAAGGGTATCTTTTTCCACAAGCTCTAGTGGGTTGAAATAGTTATTAAAGGAAAAAACCAAGGAGGTAAAAATCTGCTTCTATGTCTTTGAATAAGTTATTGGTAATTGTAAACTGCAGATAAGCTTGATTCTGTTGTCCTTCTGCCCTGAAAAGAAATATTAACGTGACTGAACATAGGCCAAGTTGCTACTAAAATAATGCATGGGGGTGTAAATCAATTACAAATTCAGGTAGTTGGGTAGGTGTAGCACAAATTATGAGTAACAACAATTATATTCACTACTTCAGATTGCAATATGTCAGTAAGTAATACTTCTCTCCTAGGTTGGATCTTGAAATCTGGGAGTGATATTTTTTTTTATCTGGATAAAAAATAAATCTAAAAGAAATGGACACATGAAAGTTTTAAGTAACTAATGCTAACTGGAGGAAGGCATTGTATATACCAGATGTATTGAGGTGTTGGGATACACAAGGAGGCAGTTGTCAAATAGTTCTTAATTTAAAACCCTCACTCTGTTGTGGAGACATTAAGCCAATGAGAACATTGAGAAAAGAGGTTAGAAACTTGGTTTCTTGTGTCATATCCACAAACAAGGCAGTTGGAGAGACATCTGTTGTGGCTCTTATTGAGTCCATTCCTCAGTTTATTTCCACTTGAAAAATTAGGATAATATTTATTTTACATATTTCCTTAAAAGTGAGAACAAATAAAATCTGACATAAAAATAATTGAGAAAGGGTTTCCTATATAAGTACAAGAAATGTGCATTATTGTTATTATTACTATTATTATTATCATCATTGGCCAATATTCAAAGTATATTGAAATTATCCTTTTGTTAGAATTTGGAAAACTTGCATTTTTTTCATTTACACTGTGGATGGAGATGTGTGTGTGTCTGTGTGTAGATGGTGGTGTTGGAGGATGTGGCTGATACATCTGTCAAGCTATGTGGCTAGCTCAAGCAGTAGATTTTATACTCACCTGGAATCCACACTAACTTCAGAGTTGTGTCAGCTTATCCTTTGGTGTTATACCACCCAGGTGCATGGTGCTTGGGACTCAGACTACCTCACAGAATTTCTAAGGACTTAACCTATAAACATTGCTTTCAACATTGCTGGTTCCTCAGCAGTTAAAGATCCTCTGGATCCCAAATATGAAGTTGAATTCTTAAATATATGTAACATATTTATATTCACGATTTATTTATATTTAAGCTTTTTAAAAATTCACATTTTACTTTCAGGGGAGAGTCCCTATGCCATTTTTATATGAACTAAAGCATATGGTGCAGAAAGAAAAGTGAGCACTGAGGTTCGCAGGCATGCCAGTGAATCCTGTCAACTCCCTTCTGTGCAGATACACAGGTCACCCGCATTTGCAGAGAGCATGAGCAAATATTTCTTGATTCTACTATATTTATGCTCCTTAAATTCTTTCACTAGAGAAATAAAGAAACCTCACAACAAATTTCATCTCAGTGCAATGAGCAAATTTTCTCCAAAATCTAATGTTTCTGGTTGTTAAAATTATTTGGGGCATGTATCTGATGAAGGCATTTGGAATTGTAGTCTACATATTTCTGCCAACCCCTTTATAAAACGAGGTAATGAAAGGAAAAGGCTGGTTTTTTAAATTTAAATGATAAAATATGTTTTTGCAGATATTGTGGTGGGCCTTTTTTCTGATTAGTAGTTAAACTTCAGAATATTTTCTGACTAATCTCTTAGCTATATCTTTTCCTGGCTTCTGTCACATCTGTTTCAGAAACCAGGAACATTCCACACTAGACCTGTGAGCTGGAGCGAAAGGCCAAGGGTAAGAGGCTCTTCTCCCCTTGACTTTTAGACAATGCTCTTTACTGGGCTCATTTCTTAATCACCTTTCCTTGCTTGGCTATTGTATGCCCATGAAAAAGAAAAGAATTCGTTGAGTATCTAGCCAGGCTCTGCCACAGTCTATCATTCTGGTAAACATATATACATATATACATTACATATAGGGTGTCCCCAAAAAATGTATACACACACTTTGAATAATTATAAAGCAATGTTTATTAAAATACATTTGGGTTATCAGCTGTTAAAGTGTGTATACATTTTGGGGGGAATATATTCCAAAGTGATTCTGAGATGCCACCTTCCTTGAAGGTGGGGAAGACTGACCAGGATGCTTCTGCTTTTCCATATCAGAAGTGGGCCCTCCTTCAAGCCTATATAGGCTTCAAAGTTCACTCCTGCTCATGGATATTTGGAGGCCTAGAGTTATTGTGTTTTTAATTTCAAACAATCAAAACCTTTTAGGGGTAGGCTTGTGGTTTCTTTGGTAATAGATATCTTACAAAAAATTAGTATGTTATTTGTTCATGTAATCCTTGCTTTTCTGCCTCTGTTCCTCTATCCTCTGACTCAAGGACAGCCACCTGGGGGCTGTCAGGATTAGTTATGAAACCACACCCTTAACATGATCTTTACCCTGAGTCACTTCATTCAGCTGAGACATTTTAATGGGCTTTTTTGGCTCAATGCTTTAAAAAGAAAAATCTTGTATCTCAGTGTTTGGGATCTATAAACAGATTTTAAACAATAGAAGGCATAAAATTTCTAAACTCTCTACTCTTATTTTTTCTTGCACACTGTCCAGTTCTTTCTCTAATTTCATCTCTTTCTTGTATTACACCAGTGCTCTGATTTTTGTAGTATCGTTATATGTACATGAATCCTCTGATAATTTCTAAGTATTTCTCCTAGAGCTACAGGTGGTTAGATTTCAGTGGCCACAGATGATACTTTTACCAAATGGTTTTCATTGTAGGATGTGAATAAGCGTCATTCCAGCTTCTGGTATCACTTTATTTCTTTCCACTACTTGACTGTTAAGCCAATGCTACACATTTGTGGAATTTCAAGATACCACTTGTGTTGTTAGGGAGCGTAAAGTCTGAGGAAGGGCAGGTGTGTTTTGGGGGCAGCTCTTTTCCAAGAAGTCACCCAGGGCTTCAAGTTCTTTGTTTTTATAGCTCTGCCATCTCAGACCCTAGCTTACAGTGACACAAAAGATGCAAAAATGAGGAAAAGTGAGCCAAAAATCAAGATTCAGGCTTGGAAGTTATTTTGGCCATACATAATCAACGAGAAAACAGCTAGCCCCAGCTTAAATTCAAGACAGACTGGAAAGGCAGTTATCCTGTGTGCTCAGGAAGAGAAAACAAAATTGGGCACCTTTAACCAGTCACCACAGCACCCAGCTCTCATTTGTTTATGTTTACCTGCTATTATTTTTTTTTTTTACGTTCATTCACTCTTATTCTTTCTGAGTCCTTATGTTTTTAGGTATTTCTCTTGTAACTATTACATAATTGAATTTAATGTTTAAGCTGAACTGATAATCTCTGTCATTTAAATAGAGGGTTTAGTCTATTTACATTTAATGTGATTATTTCTTTCTCTTTTTTTTCCCATTTTCCTGAGGTCCCCCCTCCCGTATTCTTTGTTTTTCTTGTCTTGTTTTCAATTTTGTCTTATCTTTTTCCTGCTGCTCTACTGAATTAAGCAATACATATTTTAGTAATATTTGTCCTCTCACTGAAATGATTTCTTAGTGCTCTCATAAAAAAAAATATCTGTTAAACTTGTTACTGCTCAGTGTTTTAGCTTTTTATTTTTTTTTAAATCATATATTAGTGATTATTATTTCTATTCTACCATAAAATCAATGCTTCCTTAGGTTCATACATATATTTATTAATTTTATTTTTTTACCTTTTCATTTTCTTGCTGAGGATTCCTTTTTGCATTTTAATTTTTCTAGTATTAATTTTATTCTTTCTAAAGTACATTTTTTTTGAGATTCCTTCTTTATTGGCCTACTAATTACATATTCTCAGTTTTTGTCTAAATATGTCTTCTGTTTTACTCTTTTTATTGAATGATAGCTTACTTATACATAAATAGTATAAATAATAAAGTATATAAAGAATAAATGGACTAGCCCGGCTGGTTGTGGCTCAGCGGTTGAGCGTCGACCTAGGATCCAGGTGATCAGGGTTCAACTCCTGGTCAGGGCACATGCCCGGGTTGTGGGCTAGGCAGCCCATCAATGACTCTCTCATCATTGATGTTTCTATCCCTCTCTCTCTCTCTCCTTTCCTCTCTCTGAAATCAATAAAGATATATTAAAAAAAAACAAAAACCACAAGAATAAATGTACTAAATAATGGTTAATGCCAAAAAGTCTAGGTAAGCTTTAAAATATTACTTTTCTTACACAAATATTTAAAAATATAAATTATTTTAGAGTCCATATAACTAAAATAATGGAATTACTATTGAGTATTCCTTTGCTAAATATAATCTATCTAAATTGTGGGTGAAGAATTGGAATCAAATACATTCTTCTTTACTTTCTTAAGCTATTTGAAAAAATGTGTCAAAATGCAAATTAACCCCAACCATAATGAGTACTTTTATCCAGCCACCAAATTCCTAATAAAGCTATTCTGTTAATTTTCTAAACACATGTCAGTCAGGCATGAGATTGTCATGCAACGCATAGGTAAATGGCACCATGTGCAAGGAGAAACCTCCGACTTTCAAGAATGTGATTTAGAATTAAGGGCTTGAATGTCTTTGTAGGATGTAGCTCCGATTATTTTCCTATATTTTGTATACTAGCTTATCAAGGTCCTTATACATTGTAATAGAGTATATTATTTTTTCTTTCCCCCTGAAACTGTTTCTTCAGTTATAGAGCTTCCTTGTTTAAGTAACTCAAGGAATAGCCTAGCAGGCAAGAAAACTGACGAAGCCACTTTATCAATGTCAGAAGAATTATTCCTCTTCAAAAATGATCAAAGATATCTAGCCTTGAAGAAAAAAACTTGAATCAGAATTATGCTAATCTGAAATGATCTAAATTTCATATCAAATTGTTTTTCCTCAATTCAGAAACATTTTCACGAGTCATCCATCTTAAAGACAAATGCTGAGTCAAGATGATTTATTATTTAATTGCAAACTTCAGTATTAAAGAATATAAATTGGTTTTGAGCAGACCAACAACCTAGTAAAGTCAGAGAAGATCTCCAAGTTGATCTCTAATTATATGAAAAATGTATGGATTAAGAAAATTAGGAAAACTGAAGACCAAAGAGAATGTGAAAGGTTTTATATAGATGATTTTTTTGGACTTCTAGCCATTTCAGAAGGAAACTGTATGTGATATTAGTTTACAACTTAGCTTATATAAGTACATATTTAACATGAGCTACATACCCCAACAGATGCTGAGGGAATCAATCTATTGATGAGCATAAATATGACTCAGAGGAATATTTATTGCTATTATTGAATCTTCTGTTTCAGATGACTAAAATATGTGAAACACATTTATTTAAAAAATTGCTGTAAATCAATGAAATTTGCTGCCAGTGTTTAAGGGTTAAACCTAAGTTTTCTAAAAATTAACTGATGTGGAATTCCTCTCCCTTGATGCCCCATGATAATGAAGCGTTACACTATCAGTTTTATTTGTTTCTTCTCAATTATATTTGGCCAGTGAACACATTTTAACTTAAAAATTTTGTACCTTCACGACAGTTTTGTAGTCACCAGGGAAAAAAAGCAAAGTAAAAAACTGTGGCCAAACTAGACCCAGAAAAGCACACACTGTATGATTCCATGCTGAGTTACACTGGTTGTACTTGGGCAGGGAGGGGGATAATGACTGGAAGGGAGCATGAGGCGTGCTGGTCATGCTCTGTTCCTTAGTAGAGTCTTAGGTTTATTTGGTTTGCGAAAATTTATTGAGCTATACATTGATGATATGTGTACTTGTTTTTACGCATATTATGCTTCAATGAAAACATTTTTTAAAATCTGAAAGTCAATATTAGAGCCATCTAATAGCCAGCTGCCTGTAGACACATATAGGAGTGCTATGCTAAGTTAGACCGCTTCTCCAAGATATCTGAAATAGGATTCCCAAGAGAATTTTCATGAAAGCCAAGGCATGTCTATAAAAGGCCTTTTAATCTTGACTCTGCTGGATTAATAGAGCAATATTAAATATTATTCTTATCAGTCATGGAATGCACAGATAGAAATGAAATGTCATTAAATCTCAATGCCAGCGAGCTGGGGGAAAAAATGGCTTTGTTCAGAATTCTATTTGAAATAAAGAACAGTGTCCTTTCTCCGTAGTGATACAATAGCATTTTAATGAATGATTACTGAAGCCAAACAAGATCACAGGCAAAGAAAGAACTGAATTAAATAGAATTCTAGGTCAAACTAGACCCCAGAACCCTTTCCTCCTTCACTGTCCTAATCTGTTGGGTTTCCAGGCAGAATCAACACATTTTGGGGTATGGTTCTTTCTCATTCCATTCCCTGCCATCAGTGGCCCGTTGGTAAGAGAAGCCTTGTCTCTATGCCTCCTACAGAGAGAAAGGAAGATCGCTGCTCAACAAATGAGGGGGTCCAGCTCGAAGGATACTGTCTCCCCAGAGAGGCCCCCAGCGTCTCTCTCGTCAGTTCTGAAGAACAACCCACTGTATGGTGACGTGAGTTTGGAGGAAGCTATGGAAGATCGGAAGAAGAGTCCTTCGTGGACCATCGAGGAATATGACAGGCGCTCCCTGCACACAAACCTGTCTGGGCATCTGAAGGTACCCGGGGCAAAGACTCAGCGTCTTCGGTTGATGGGGAGATGAGCTCCACACTCCTGAATGACATAGGCATGGAGGTGACAGGCAGTCCTCCCCGGGCGCAGAGTCTCCAGGTGTCAGGTCACTTTAGCCTCTGGCTTCCCTTGTTCTCGCCTCTGTCATTGTGCTTATTTATTTGTTTTGAGTTTTGCAACAAATCTGATGTGGCACAGAAACAAGGTTTGCCGGAAAGGTAATTTTTGAAAATTAATTTGCTAAATGATGTATGTTTTCCCCTAGTTGTGTGACCACTGTTCCTGAATACTTACGAATTTCTTATTCTACATGTATTCAAAAATATTAAATGTTCTGACTTCGGCACTGTGCAAGGCCGTTCTCATCAAAAATCATTTCATTTCAAGCCCGCTCGGTGATTTAAGATTGCAGACTTACATTTTGGACTCTTTCCTGTGTCTCAGTAACAAAACAAAACAAAAGCATTTCAACACAGGAAAAGTATGCAATGAACTCATTCACCCAGCTTAAACCCAGCTTAAGTCCCCCTCCCCTGTGCCCGGCGTCACCCGTCACATAGAAGACCTAGAAATACCTGAAAAGCAGGAGAGCGGCCCTCTTTCCTGAGCAGACTGGATTCCTGCCCGCCCCGGCTTGCCTCCGCTGCCCCGGGGCCAGGAAGGCCTGACATTTTCCAAGTACCCCTTTGTGCACATCTGTTCATACCTTAAGCAGCCGGAGACTTTTTCTTTTGCAGGGGACAGCCTTGTGCCCTCTTAAAATCGTACACTTTTAAAAATCTCCAATGTGCACTCCTCGAAATAGCTCACTGTCCAGAGTCTTTGAAGTTTCTTAATCTCCTAGTAGATTAATGTATCTCTCCCTTAATGTAGTCTCTTTTCCGGAAAGGTTTCCATAACAAATGCTCCCCCATAGCAACAGTAATCATGTGTTTTTTATCAGGAGTCTGAAGATCAACCTCTAAGTAGTCACCACCTACAAGCAGGAAAAAATGTATCGATTTATTTCACAAACGTGTCTTGACTGTACGCGAGAGCCCCTTCTGTTCTCTTTGTCGTTTACGTGAATGACGGGACTGTAAAGATAAATATTATTGTCCCTGTTTTCAAAAAGTTCATTTAACTGAGGAAAGAAACAAGCAGTAACTATAGAACAAGGTGGAGTGACAAGGCAGAGAGAGAGGGTCCTGCCCGGCGCCGTAGGAGGTGATGTGCGGATTCCGAGGGGAAAAATCACATTGGATCATAGAAAAGCCTTCAGGAAAAGTTAATTTTTGCTGAGCTTGAAGGACAGGGAGAGTTCAGAAGATATCGATGGCTTGCCGAGTGTGGGGTGGGGGTGGGCGCTTCCCTCAGGCATAGGAGAGAAAAGGCACCGATAGGAGAATGAGAGTCGGTCAGAGCAACACGCAGCCCAGTGTCGCTGCAGCTGCAGCTGAAGCAATACACCGGCGGGAAATCAAGGCCAAGAAAGACTAAAAGAAAATGCGTGAGTGTCGCGATAAGGAAATTGAACGTTATTGGCAACAAGGAGGAACTGTTTGTTGGACGATTCCATGAGTTGTGCTTAGGAAGATCACACATGAGGACAAGGGCTATATTACTTTACCCAAGCCAGGGTCTGACCCA